AAATTGAGCGAATCTTGATTTGTCTGAGAACAATACAGTTTTACAAAAATCCAGAGGCTTGCTCATCATATCACTTGCCCACTTCTTTCGTCTGACTATGTTGGCAGGTCTTAATAAGGGCTTTGGTCTAGCTGCTCTGCAACGATAACCCAATCTGTGGAGAATCCGTTGAACAGATTTCGGGCTCATCCCACCAACTCTAGCCACTTCTGCAGTCGTTAATCTGGGATCCATTATGATGCTCCTCTTGACAGCCCTTTTTGTCCTCTCCGATGGACCAGGACGCTGCTCAGTTGTTTCCTTGCCATGTTTCCTGAACTGCACGATGAATCTGTTGACTGTCGAAAGCGGGATTTCCAAATTCTGCGAAATTTGCCGCTGACTTATTCCACCATCTGCTTGACCAACGATTCCTTCCTGTAACAAAATCTGACAATTAGAGAGAACCTTGAGTTCTAGGCATGTTGTAGCATAAGATAATTAGTGTGCGGACCATTTTCATTCATATAGTGCTCTGTGAACTCAAATTAGTTAGCATAAATCAGTTAACTGACGAAAAATTAGGTGTCTATTTACTTATGACCACTCAGTGTAGATCGGAGAGAGCATTACATTCCATAGTGCGATATTTTTCAAACCTGTTAGCAGGCCTAACTGACTACTCTTCGGGAAAACTACAGCAAGAAGCTTATAACACTAAATATTGAGGTTCGATACTCACGATGGGTTCAGTACAGATAGCCCATTGTGTAACTTTGCGCTTAAAAACAAATGAATTTACTACCATTCTCTTCATTTATAAGAAAGCATGAGCAAAATATTCATTTATATCAAAAATATATAATTTATACACTAAAATTATCAATTTTTAATACCTAATGGACACATCTATGTGCTACAACTATAATAAATATTAACTCCACAAAGTAATATGAATGAAATAATATATCACTGAAGAATATATGTAAATATAGACTGTTTAGTATTAATTTCTTATTTAATTTTAAAACATATTATATTTTCTTTTTCCACAAACCTATAAACGGTCATTTCTGAATGTTTATGTTGAACTCAATAGTTGTATTATTTACTCACGTTTGTCAATGTATTATCATATGAAATCGTTAACTCACTTTTAGTAAATTTATCAGAAACTTTTCAGTTTTGTTAAATATGCCGAAATATTACGAAGAAATTGCGGAACTTAATGACAAGAAACCATGTGCTGGTTTGAGGGAAGACCTCAAAGCTTGCTTGATATCTACAGATTGTGTTAGAGTAGTAAGTAGACCAATTTCAACTACTACTACTGAGTTGAACTGCGCTGAAGTTTTCTTATTTTTTCTCATTTCTTCGCGAAACAATAAACAAATAAGAAAGGGGAATTAATTTAGTATTTGTGAATCATAGATTTAACTTTCTTAACTTAGCTTCTTATACACTTTAAAAATAGACTTGAGTTATGATGTTTATTATTTTAAATTTAATGTAATGTAATGCTAGTAATTACTTAGGGCGGTTACTATAGTATTATGTAAAATTTCTGAACTCAAATGATTATCTTAATATCTTATATACCCAACTATGCTATTTTTCATAAAGTTTTCCTAATTTGTCACTATTCTAACAAACAAATTAGAAAAAGAATATGCCACAAGCTCCAGGGAACAAAATATTGGACTGACCACAACAAATTTGTGTCTCTGGTAAACTTAATGATCACAAAGATAAGTCTATTTTATGAGTTGCTCTGTTAAGAGTTAATTAGTGGCCAGGTACTCTTCTTAACATCCTATGAAGTATTTGAAATTGTTATTTAGACCAGAAGGTATATTTAAGAAGAAGGAAAAACCAAAAATATTATTTTACTAATTAATGAAATAAAAACGTATTGGCTTGAAAAAAAATGCAATAAAATCAAGTGTGTGTAAGACTGGAGTACACAGAACAGTTATAGTACCTTATATGCAATTGTAGCACAATTTTATAATTGGCAAATTTTTACAATGTAGCTGAAACAAACATTGACTGTGGTTGTTTGGGAATTTGGGGTGACCTACCTAATGTGCTGATGGCAGTTTGCCACTTTGCTAGTATTTTTATAACAGCTATAGTACATTATTTTATGCAGATTTATCTTCTATACAAAACTTGTTTGAATAACCTATATGATTTATTTAGATAAATTAGAAAATAATGAGTTTTCATCACTGGTATGTTGTTTTAAGAATATTCCTTCTTTTATACATGATACATATTAGTTACAAGCCGTGTGTTGGAAACAACTGCATGAAATAAACATTCAAATATGTTTTGGAATTGTTTTTTACAGAAGAGATATCCTTATTGTGAAAAAGAGTTTTTTTATATAATACTTGGTTTAAAAAATTCTTGTTGTAAAGAACTTAAAAGACTTGGGCTTATTTTACCTGAAGTGAAAAATAACAAAAAACAAGAAGTTACTTCACTTACATGTTTAAACTCTAAGAGATTTGGGAGTGCTTGTAGGAAACTTGTCTCAAATGTGAAATTATGAGGTTGTATGCAGGAACTCTAATATTAGGGATATTAGAATAAGCTTTGAAAACTCAGATTTAAACTTTATTTGTAATATAATTTCATTTACAGTGTTTAAATGATCTTTTCCCTTTCATTCTGTATAATGTAAACTTTCTTCTCTGGAAAATTTCCATGTGATTGACAGTAAGTCTAGGACTTTTTTCAAGTCCATTATCTGTCAGTGTATCTACTTCTTTCTTTTGTGGATAATTTACATGTGGACCTTTTAAGTTTTTAATATATTTTATTCACCCTGTCCCCTTTCACTGCTTTTTTATTTTTTTTTACTTGTGATTTTGCAGCTTATTAGAATAGTTAAACACAATAGTGAGTTTCATTAATTTTCCTGTAAATGTTCTCAGATATTTATAGCATTCTGTGGTACATGTATGTGTTTATTAGTCTATTTCTTGAATTACATTTCAATGTTTTGCTGAGGTTCCTATGTGTCCAGTTTCCTTGATAATTCATCATGGCATATCTATTGTAGTAATGGTTTGCAAAAATTTCATCACTATTAGCTTTGTGTTTGTTTTATTGATGTTTGTAAAGGCTTTCCAAAGATACCTGTCTACCATAATGTTTTGTTCTTTGTTTTTATCATCAACCTCCCAATGAAACAGCTTTTGGTGTCTACCAGCCAATCGGTTCAAAATTTTGTTTTATCTTTGTAGTTAAGAAATGCTTTGGTAGGGAAATGCAAATTAGCAAACCTCAAGTTTTTTTTTTACTGACACCTTAGATCATTACGTTATATGTTTCTCTAGCATTTGTTAGGTATAGTGTTGAGAACTGGTTGAAACTTTAAGATCAATGATTGGTTCATTAGAGCTGATCATTCATTAGTTAGTCCTTATTTAATATAAAAAGCATACATTTACAAATCTTGAAGATTACTTGTTGCCATTTTCTTGAAGTCAGGAATGAGTTGAACTTGGGAATGCTACAAGCACAGTGGGTGGATAATAGTAATACTATCTACAGATTATACTACAAGTACAAAATTTTGTGTCTGGTTACTTGGAGACCTCTAATTGTACTTTGTTACTAGTAAGTTTACAAGCACTGTTTAATATTCCATTTACCAATGAAAACAGCATAAAATATAAATCTGTAAGAGAACTGGGTCTCAAACTGTGCATGTGTGATTTGTATTTATTTGCACTTTTTCTTTTTATCTACAACTAAATCAGAGAGTTTCCATATGTCTATTTTAATTTTTGACATATTTTATTTTGTTAGGAGATAGATGAATGCTAAATTTTGTTTCATTGCTACAAATGTATCCTGGACAGTTAGATAGAAAAAAATTCGAGCAAACACAATTAACCTGGAATGCTTTTATTTGAATTTACTGACAAATAAAGAAACTGACACTAACCAGTTATAATGGAAAGAGTTTGTTGGGTTTTCTAACTTATTATATTGATTTTATATGTAAAAGTAATGAAAGAAATATAGAACCTAATATTCTTAACTGACATGCTTTTTTGATGTAATATTATCTGTAGTACAAATGTTTGTCATTTCATTCTAACCATTAACTGTAAACCCTCCAAAGAGTTGGATGAACTTGTGAGTCACAACTCAATTTTGAATAAAAATATTCTTTTAAAAATAAATATTAAGCCCAGTATCTCATTCATCTCAATACTTGTCACTGGACAAGAACAAAATTAAAAAAACTAGTATTTTTATAGTGGTGAGGAAAATATTTTTAGGATATTAAACACTTTGTCTGCAGAATAATTCCAAATAATAAGTTAGGAGCATATTCCTTATAGAAAGAAAAGGGTGGCTGCAAGTGAAAAACAGGTGGCTCACAAAGGGTATAAGAGATAAATTAAAGAAAAGTATCACAAATTTAACAAATCAAACATCAAAATGGATATATGAAAAAAAAAAAAAAATTGGCTGAAAATGTAAAAATGAACAGTAAAGATCAAGAAAGTTAGTCAAAAAGGAAATTAGAACATCAAAATGGTTGGCTGAAAATGTAAAAATTAACATAAAGATTTTATTTAAGTGCATTAATGGTAAACAAAATGTTAGGATGGGACCTTTGAGGAATGGTAAAGGAAGGCTTGTATTTGATGGTTATGAGATGACAGGGTTATTAAATTCTGCTTTTTCTTCCATTTCTACTAATGAAGATTTAAGCAATACTTCTCATCTTGAACAGTTGATAGATGGAAACAAGATGATAATTTAATACTGAGCTTGTTAGAAGAAATTGACAAGTTTAAAGAATGATAAGACTCCTGGGACAGATAATACTTTCCCAATGATTTTGAAGGAGTTTAAGGATTGGATATGTGAGCTACTTGCTACAATATTTTTATTTTTATAAATCCTTGAATAGTGGGCAGGTGCCAGAGGATTGGAAGGTGGTTAATGTTACTTCTCTTTAAAAGGGAGGTGCTAAAAAGTGTCCCAGTAATTATAGGCCTATTAATCTTACATCAGTTGTGATAAAAGTTTTGGAAAGTCTGATAAAAAGATGCTTTGCCAAGTCTATTAAAAAGTTTAGAATTTTATTGAATAGTCAACATGATTTCATTAAGGGAAAATATTGCCTTACAACTTTTTTGACATTCTTTG